GGGCGGCAGCGGCGGCTGAGGCTCTGACCACCATGGTGATGCCCACTCAGCTGCTGGGTGCGTCCTGAGGAGCTGGGGCCCAGAGAGGATGGCCTGTGGATGCATGGCAGGCAGCCTGGGATGGTCAAAATCGGCCTCCTGAGCTGAGCTGCTGAAGAGCAACTGCCGCAGCTTGGCTTCGCCATTGCCAGCATCCTTCGGCATCGCCAGGGCGGCACTGAAATCCCTCACCTGCCTCCAAAGAGTGAGGGAATATTTGATCTTTCCCTGCCCGCATGGCATATGGCTGCCATTCCAGCTGGCCGCTGGCAGGGTGGAGGGGCTGGGATATTTGTTCGTGCCACCAAAGCGATGAAGAGCTGGATGTCACTTGCTGGTTTATGGTAACTGCGCCCAGGGCGATTCCCTTCCTCAGCAGCAGCTTTTATAGTGGTTATTTGGTGGGGCCGCAGGGAGGACATTGTGGAGCTTTGTGGAGCTCCACAGAAGGATTTCCAGACCTGATCTTTATCTGTAAATGATAAAACCAGCACATTTCCCCTTTTCAAGAGCGAATGGAGACTGAAGGTTGGTCTGAATTTGCCACGTGCCACAAATTTGCCACAGGCACAAATGCGAGTCACCTGCCACGTCTGAGCCACCATGTTTATCTGAGCTTCATGCCTTGCTGAAGAAGATTGGTTGGATTGCCACCAAAACCGACGGGTGCCTGGCACACAAACTCCGGGTGCTTTGCAAAAGGGGCCGGGGCCGAGGGCTTGTGCCGGTGGGAAAGATGTGCAACAGCGCCAGGCATCCCTGTGGGCCAGGGCGAGAGCCAGGGCCATGGGTCATGTTAGAGAAAATTAATTTTCAATCCCTAACCCCCCATCCAAAATTACCTTATAATCTCCGATTCCCTGGCCAAAGCCAGGGAGCGATGCCAGCGGGCAGGGAGGTGGGTAAATGCCCGCTTGTGTGGAAGCACGGCAAAGGACTGATGGATCTGCTCAAGTATTTCCCGTTTTGTCTTCCAGTGGAGCTGAGTCCCTCTCTTCAGATGAAAAAGGTATGGTAATTTTGTGAAATACAGCACTTCAAATGGCTTTGTTATGAGAAATGCCCATCCTTTGGAATTGAAATGACAATTTTATAACAGCTGGCTTTAAAAAACGCAGTGTAATGCCTTAGTTTAATGGATAAGAGTTTTGATTTTTTAATACTCATTTTTAAAATTCATATTCCTTTGCTATTTATTCCCTTCCTCTGACCTGCATAGTACAAAAATGCCAACAGAAGAGTTAAATCTTTTTCAAGCTTATATCTCCCAATTTTCTCTTTTGCAGAGGTCTTTATCTTTTGCAGAGATTTTTCTTTTGCTTTTCTCTTGCAGAGGTGGTGGCCGGCAGTGCAGAGGGAGAGGGCTCAGCCGAGGAGCACCCAGCGGGTGAGCACACGTGTGGCTGATGGCTTTCCCCACGCACGGGATGGCGTGGCTGGCCGTGCACATGCCATTTCCCCGCACCGTGATAAAACCACAGTGTAGACACTGCTGCAAGTCCTCAAGTCACTTGCTTTGCAATACTGGTTTCTCTTCAACTTGCATTTGTAAGAATCACTTATTAAAGCTGCGTATAGCACATACCCATGAGTCATGTCACTGGTGGGACACACCAACTCCCACCAATGCTTCTCCCACCTCACATGCATGTCACGGAAAACCATAATTTAGCTGGGTGAACTGGGACGTGCCAAGAGTGAAGCTCCAAAATAGTCCCAGGTTGTATAAAACATGAAAATTAAGCATCTTGAACATCACACATACCCTTCAGAAGGGCCTGGGTGACCCCTAAGTCTCCTCCGATGCTGGGATTTGATACTCTGATGCTCCTCTCTGCCTAAGTATTTTTTCTACCTTGTTATATTATCTAACTTGCTGACCAACCTGATGTATTTACACTTCTAGATGTATCCTTTTACTTACCCGTGGCATTGCTTTATTTCATTCTGCCTGTGACTAATGGGGTGTAATTTTGTTAAGGAGAGGACAGTTCCGAAAACAGCTCCAGCAGTAGCTCAGAAGAGGAGTCAGGTGAGCATCGTGTTGCGATTTATGTATTTTCTCCCTTTTGAGAATGTATGTTCGGTTTAAACCAGCTGCTTTTCATGGGAATAGTCTCAGGGTTATTGTATAAGACTGTTAATTTAGTGACTGCATGCTGAAAAGCAGAATGGTATTTTTGTGAGCAAATGATTTCCTAGCTGCTCAGTTTTGAGCAGAGCAATAATAGAGGAGCAGTGGCTAATGTCACTTTGGCCTCATAGACACAATACATGCAGATGTTTTTACACCACAGTAGTTGTCCAAACACCAAGAGGCTATAAATCTGCTTAAAAGTTGGCAGCAAAAGTGACAAAACAGGATGGACAGGAAAAGAATTAAAGGAAGCGTTTGCTGTTGATGAAGAGCCTGCGGGTTTGCACTTACATGGGTTACACCACCAGCAGTTTATTCTGGTTTCATGCAAGATTGATAGTCTTAGTTAAATAATTACAAAGCTTTTTCTCATCAGATGCGGAGGAGTCAGATGGAAGAAGGTCGGGTAAGCGTGCTTCTATTTTGTTCCTTATATCTGCCTTGCAAGGCATGAGGAAGCCAACATGGATAAGAGATGCACGAGGGTAATGATATATGGGGGCAAGAGAGTGATTTAGTGCTGGCCCAGCCATCACCTCCATGTCTTTCGGTAAAACTATTTGCTAGAGAGCATACCCAGGAATGGGGAGTGCGTGGGGTGCATGCGCGGTGCACGCTTGCTGTCTCTGTTTGCGAATGGAGCCCGGCGCAGGGCTGTGGGTGCAGGGAGATGGTGGACAGACCTGAGGCACCCTTCCTCACCCGCGCGTCATGGGTGGCCCTGGGTCACTGCAATCCCGCTGCAGCTCGGGGACTGAAATAGCATTGCTGTGGGAAGGGAGCCAACGTGCTGGCGGGTGTTTGCCTGACATTTTCCAGGCTGTTCACTGCAGCAATACATTTTCTGCCTCTCCCACATCTGCCTGCCCAGGAGGGTGTTGATGTCCCAGGATGACATTTGGACAGCCCGGCTGGAGTCCCTGCTTGCAGGGGGGGGGTATTGGTGGGATGGGGAGCAGGAACGAGCAGCACAGAGCCTGTGCCCCTGCACGCCAGCAGCCAGCCCGTCCTCACACCTTGTCACAACAGCTCTGTCACTCAGCTTCTGCAAAATCCACCCTTTGGGCTAAAAGCTTTTACTGGATATGTCAGCTCTGCTTGCTTTCTGTTGTGCTGGGGGTTAGTAAGGAGGATTCAGGCACTTCTAAATCACTTTAGGGACAAATATGCTGCAAATAGTGTGGTTACCTGCTCACTGGGAACTGCTGTTGCCAGCTTCCATGCTGGGTGGTTGAACTTTGTACTTGGCACGTTGAGACTCATTGTGGGGACGAGTCTTTTTTTAACCCCTGTGAAAATTTCCAGCAGTTTGGGCAAGTTATGAGCTCTTGACAAATGTTGTATCCTGATGTTCAGCTTCATCCCCACGCTGTGCAAAGCCTGCACACACAAGTGTGCAAGTGTGCCTGTAAGAACTTAGTCTTAGGAATACTCTCCTTAGGTATTTTTTAATGTAAGCAAATTAAACTAGTGGGTTGTCCTTGCTGAATATGGGAGCAGAAACCTGCTGGAGGCTGAGGTATTTGCTGTAAACTTCTTTTTTGTAGATGAAGAACAAGAGGAGAAGGAAACGCTACCGCACTGCAATGAATCAGGTAGTAACAGACCTCTTGAGGGTTGGGGTTTTTTCTGAGTGTTTAATTACTTTGCTTTTAATGAGCTGATCTTCCTGTTTTCTCACTAGGAGTGAACTGTCTGCCACCCTGCAAGCATTGCAGAAATGAAAACGTATGTTTATAAACCTGCCCCCCTCCCCCCCCATTTTGCATGAGATAATCTGCAAATTGTAATTCTGCTCTCTCATCACCTTTTTAAATATGTATTTTTCTTTTATCTATTTATATAGGACCAGAAGGAGCAACTGACCCCCAGGAGACTTTCTGGAGGACAACATGTGTATGTTTTTATTAATACAATGGGTATACATTTATATTGTTCTCATCAAAATACTTCTTTCTTCAGTTTAAGTGGGAAAAAGACTGATTTGCTGCACAAATACATTTGGAGTTATAACGGATGCCCCCAAATCCTTAAAAATAAACAATTTAGAGCAGCTGCCCATGCTGCCTGCAGGTCCCGGTCCAAGAAAGCTCTTAGGACGGCTTCCTGCCTGCCTTGTTTCACTGCGGTAATTAACATCAGGCACATTTTTATGTGCTTTTTTTTAGTCTGGACACACATGAGGGGTCTTACCCTGTTTCACAGGAGTACTCATCCTCCCCATTTGCACTGACCTTGCATTTTTCGTTGGACGCCAGCCTTGTGCTCCCTCTCTCTGGCTCGGAAGTTGCCATCAGTGTGTGATGTTGGTGATGTCCATGTATGATGTTGATGTTGTCAGTGTACGATGTTGTCTCCGATGTCGATAGGAGCTGGGCTGAGCCCTTTGTGTAAAAGCAGCTGCCTCATTTGCAGGAAACGTTATGCAAAATATTCATTACAGCTATTTTGCATGCACTGGCTGGGTCCTCTCAGCCAGTTTTTAACACTCCAGTGACAGTTTAAACATAGAGACTGGAGAAAAAACATTGTTGTGGCTTCTGTGCTATTCAGATAAAGTGCTCTGTGCTTGTTGGGAAGGGAGTTTCTCTGTTATCCCTTGCAAACCACATTGTTACGGTATTTACTAGGCAGTGGAAACTAAACTAACCAGGTCACTCTTGCCCACGGCAGGGTGCAGCTGGACGCAGAGGGGACTTACCAGTGCAGCCTCACGGGCTTGATTTTTGAGGTAACGGGGGCCGTCAAAATCACATATTCCCTCTTATCCTGGAGCAAATATGCCAACCTTGTGGAAAAGCCATGGATTGTGGGCGGCCCCCTCTTCGACGTGCGCTGCGACTCAGCCTCTGCTCTCACCTCCATCCAGTTTCCCCACTCCCTCTGCCTCGGCGGTGAGTGCCGGCCACCGGCCTGGTGGGTGCGGGAGGCTGCCAGCTCCCCAGCACAGGAGGCACTGAGATGGCCCTGTGTTCCCATAGATCATGGCGCTGGCATGGCCTTCAAGGTTTTGCACATCAAAGGCGAGAGCGCAGCCATCGAGCCCTCCGCCGACTACTCGGCCTCGCACGTGAAGTGGCTGGTGAGCTCTCTCTCGCCGGTGGGACCACTCATCCAGAGCCAGGAGCCGGTGCAGTACCATGGCGCTGTCATCCTCTACAAAGTCGTTGACGAGCATCCCTCCTTATCCTTTCGGGTCTATGTGGCTACAAACAACGACTCCTTTATAAAGGTATGGCTTGTGTAGGGTGGTGTGATGTAGAAATATGGCAGGGTGGGTTATGGGGGTGCTACGTTGAGGATGGGGTATGGCGAAGAGATGTTCTTCTCTCGCCCCAGTGTTTGCATGCAATAATAATATATATATGTTATACATAAATATAATGAGACTTCCATACCGAAAAGGTCCACCAAGTTAGGATATGATATTTAAGGAAGTATACTGGCCCACATGCTCACTCACAAGCTGCTATATAAAAGAAATACATCAGAAACCTGTTTGCCACCAAAATCCACGGAACTCAGGATTTGTACCTGAGAGAGCTTCTTGTCCTCTCACCCATTCCCCCCTACAATATATAGGCAAACACTAGGAGAAGGCAGCAACAAATAACCTTCCTTTTTTTCAGGTTGCAAACTCTTCTATCTAATTTCACCCATGTAGCACAACAGTTGAAGAAGTTTATTTGATGTTTTTTGAGCGTGGTGTTTAGTGCACAGCTTTCTGTAAAGTTTGCCATGTGGAACAGGTCGCGGCCATTTCATAGAGCTGGGGACAGAGAAAAGCTCAAGGAGACACACTAGCCCAGGTTTTAAATGTTAATTCCTTTACTGAGGCAAGTAACCTTTAAATTGTATTTTTAAATTTTAGGATATCTCAAGAGCCGTAAAACATTCAAATAAGAAATTCATTAGAATTGACAAGCCCCCTGTATGCCAGAAATTACTACAGAAAGGAAAGAGGTATAGATTAGTTTGTGAGCCAGAAGCTGAAATAACTCCAGAGGTAAGTCCCTTACACAACCCTCATTTCATGCATTGCAGCTGAATTAGAAATGTGGTGCAAAATGGCTTTTCCTGCACTAGTATTAAGGGCATTTTTCACATTCATTTGCCATTGCTGCAGAAAGCATTTGCCTCTTACAGCCCAAAAATTTTGGGATGAAATCCTGACGCCAAAGTCAACAGCAAAACTCTGGGGAGATTAGAGTTGGACTCAGATCTGTGCCAATAGCCAAATACTCCTCTTCTGTTTATGTTTGGATAAATGTTTATTTTTAACATACTTACATTTTATAGGAAATTGAATTTGTTGATGGATCTCTTTTGAAACTAAAAAGTTACATTGAAGTCTATTTGGAGAAACCCGACGACTTCACCTTGTCTTTGGTTGAGCTGGAGTCTGATGCGACCGTATGGAAAGCAAAACTAAGAGAGAGTGAGTCTTTGGTCTTCCCAGGACTAGTTTGTTCCTGCTGAAAAGATGCAGGAGTTGGGATATAATTCAGCCCTTAGATGCACCGAAATTCCTGCTGTTAAAATCACGAGGTCTGGAGCTGAAAGTGATAAAACACAAAGAGAAGAGCTCTGGGAGGTCATGTAGTGTATGTTGCAGTAACCTGCAGAATCCCTCATGAGCCAACAGGCAAAGGCTTCGGGGCGGTGGGGTGTGCAGGAGGATGCTCCGCTTTAGTTTTAGTTATTAGGCATAATATGCAATCTCTATTGCATATCATAAATGGCGTGCTGCAGCACATTGGATAAAAGGGGAAAAATCACCTCATTATATAAAATCTTAGCTCAGCAGCAGGAATCCACCCAACAGCTTGGTTTTGTGCCCGAGAACTGTTGGACGTAGAGCATAGCAATGGGAATTCCTACCTCACCTTTTGTTTCCTCTGAAAACTGTTTACCAGGTGACTGGATACATTACGATCAGAACAAAAACGAGCAGAAAAGAAGCGCAGTCAGTAAGTCAATTTGAAGATAAGTTGGGGTTGCTTATTTTCTGTGTACCTCGCTTGCTCTTGTAGCTCAAGTGATACGAAAGAAGTAACATCACCTCTCATTGCTTCTTAGGTGTCAAAAAACGGAAACCAGCCATCAGCATTTTGGAAGAAGACGAGCTCCGTAGCAAAAAGCAGAAGACCGGCAATACTGCAGGTAGAGCATTTCTGCGTCATTTAAAATAACAGGTTTGAGGGGTTTTTTTGCATCCCGTGAATTGAACCTGAGCTCACTTTTTTAAAGACTTCCACGAATCTGAGCATGAAATATAGGAGGAGAAAGTGCTGCTATTGTAGATGCAGGATTTGTACCTGCATTTGTATACTTCGGTACACTTTGTCATTCATTCGGTAAGTAAATGGGGAGAAGCAGCTAGGAAATTTGCTTTGTAAGAGTCAGCTAAAATGGTATTGTCTTCTAAGACTGGGAAATAGTGGCTGCTTTTGAAAGAGGTTTCTGCTACGTGTCTCAGATTTTGCATTTGGGATACCTCCTGAGCCATAATAGGCTGAATTTTTCTAAAAAAAAATCATCTCCTGTTTATTGTTGACGTGTGATGTTCTGATGGTCAGAAATGCTTGGTATCTGGGAGCTCCCACCCAGAAACTACTCATTTGCTAATAGTTACTTGGAAAAAATACAGAGGAAATAATGTTAGTTCAATAAATAACAAAAAAAACTCAGCAAAAGTAGCCATGTAGGTGTTTGTTTATGGATGCATGTAGCCACCAGAGGGAGAGCTTCCATCCTTCAAAACCTCAGTTTTATGTGTAACTGGTGACACTGAGGAGGAAAGCGGCTCAGTCCGTGTAACCGCGTGGGCTGAGACTTCTGAGCCATTGTAATTAAAGGAAAAACAAACATCTGTAGCAGCTGTAGCTTTCAAGAAAAACTGGCATCTGAACTTGCCAGGAGGTAGTGAGTGCTTAGCATGGCCTTAACGTTACACGTCTCAAAATCTCTGAGTGCTTGATAACCTAACATACAGTTCGTACAGTTTTTCCTACTAGATTAATAGCTGCTTATAAATGGGAAAAAAATCCTTTACAGCAGCCAGCATGCAATCAGATGTTTTCATCTTCATGAGCCAGGCTTCTTAGTCCTCCAGCGCTTGGCTCTGACCTTGCTGGATAATCCGAATGATAAGATCACCTTCATCGTATGTCCCCTGGCCATGCACAGAACTGATAGTGTCATTTAGTTACAAGTTTAATGAGAAGAGCAATGTTAAATCTGATTTTTGTTCTATGTCTTTTCAGATGTAATTGCAACAAAAATCTTAACGGATCAACAGCTGATGGTGATCGCAAAGTTGTTTGGTAGGCAGTGGAGAGAAATTGCCATTGAGTGTCTTCAGATGGAAATGAAAGACATTGAGCAGATTCAGGCAACGGAAGAAGAAGTTAATATGCAAAAATTTCTGGTGCTAAGCAAGTGGAGAGACAGAGAGCAAAGCAACGGAACTGCAGAAGCTTTGTACAGAAGTCTCTGTGAAAAAGCGTCCTATGAGATACTGCAAGCCCTACAAGGTATCGCCTTCCCATTGTATTTGTTTATTTAATTACATCAGTGTGTTTCAGATGTATTTTAAGAATTTGCATCAGAGAGTTTACTGAATACATAGTACGTGTTTTACTGCGTAGGTCAAAATCGTCTCCCTTCTGATATTAGCAATGACTTTCTTTCTTGTGGCATTTTTATACTTCCCTTCAGAAACTGATACAAAATGAATAATATTTTTGCACTGACTGTGTTGAGAGTACTCTTAGCATGACCTAGCTGTCATGGCCAAACCAGTCAGCGTTATATACCCAAACCGATTCTTGATTCTCTCAGGAACTCCAAAGAAGAGATGTTTGGGTCTTTACTCTTACGTATTTTAGGAAGGGTTAATTAACACCTTCCCCTGACGGATGACTTAACGGTTCGGTCCTGCAGACGTGTGTGTGTATGTATTTCCTTACTGCCCATGGGTGCTCCCACTGATTTCTGGGGGACTCCTTATGTTCGGTTCACTTTGTGCAAACCAAAGTTGTTCAGTGGGCTAAGAACTCAGCCAGCCAAGGGGAATCTTTCTCAAAAACTAAACATATTTTTTTCTGTTTGGTGGAGAGCTGCTCGTGCTCGCTCGCTCATCTGACCCTCACAAACCTGTCTGTTGCCATAGCCTTGTGCTGTGTCATAGGCTTTTAATGCATTTATTATTCAACTTGAATATTGCAGTAACTTGTAGAGATCAGATAATCTGTGTGTGTTTGTGCGTGTTCCTTTCCTCAGGTTTCTTGGCTCGGTGCTGAGCTGGTGAAGCCGCAGCTAGAAGGAACGTGGTGGGAGCTTCCCCAGCCAGCCATTACGCTTCTCCAGCTGCTTCCCCGGGATCTCGCTGAGATTCGGGAAGGAAGATGCAAGGCATCATCACTCAGCGGAAAGTTTAGGCAGGATCTTTGCAAGAAATGTGAATGAAATTTTGTGCGGATATAAGCACACGTAAGACTTTCAGGAGCAATTACTCACGCGGTGGATCCCGGCATTGTGGCCGAGAGTGCTGGGCTTCATGTACGGGGAAACCCAACACTGCCACCCAGCTTTGTCTCATTTGAGCAAGTCCCAAAAGACACGAACACTGGAAGAAATCAGTTTACCTTGTTCAGGTATATGATCATTATCTGGAAACGTTTTTATTTCCATCAGGGAAAGACAGGGAGAAAAGTCATGCAGAAACTTTTGTCCCCTTAAGAAAAATATTGAACTGCCAAAATCATGAGGTACGTTGTATTTCTCACAGATGCCCAAGATCAGGGAAGAATAATCCTAAACTTGCAGATAAATTCCTTTGCATAATCACTGTATATATACATAATTACTGTATATACTCGTGTACATTCAGTCCTTCTTAAGCTGTGGTTCTGTTTTCTAAAAACCTGAAGACTGGTGTCACGGGAGCACCACTATTAACTCCAGGCAGCTTTGAATTTTCGCTGGGAATTTCTTCTTCACTCTTTTCTGTATAGTCTGTCTCAATTTTTATGAGATAATTTTTTATGTTGTATAATTTTTTTTGTATTATAAACTTTTTATACTTTTTTTTTACTTCATTAATTTTAACTTGAATAGAATTAGGTGCTTAAACAAAAATGGGAGAAGCCAAAATCTCTGTGAAGGCTGTTACTCTGTCGGCAATGCACGTATTACAGAAATGAAAAAGATTTGGAAATAATGTTATCTGCAGAAGAGAGTGGTGACCTGATACAGGAGATTGTTTTTAAAGACACGGGATTCTTTTGAGCATCTTCCTCTGTGTATGTTTATGAAAGAAAAAGCATACTTTTAAAAAATAAGGATTAAAAAGGAAACATTTACACTATTTACATAAGGTTGTTTGTTGGGTTTTTTTTAAGCCATTGGAATGAAATGTTCAAGGCTGTTGTATGCTGTGGGCCATCTTTCCAACCCGTGATGCTCTACTGCTGCATACCTCCCAGGGGGTGGCCAAGGAAAAGGGCTGTGTCGGTGCCCAGGACCTCACGGGCTCTTCTGCCAATGGGGCTTTTAGTGGGGAAAAAAGCTGTGGGAGGCAGGGAGGCTTGTGTGGGGCTCTCCATCCCTGGGCAGAGCTGCCTTTGGCTCTTCTCTCTGGGACAAGCGGGTGGAAATTGCTATCAGGGGGACCTTTAAGATATCCGATAAAAAACAAAACTCTAATAGGACCCTCTGGTCAGAAGCAGAAATCAGTAAATCTAAGCTGGAAATAAGATGCTTATTTGTAATAATGAGGGTAACTGGATAGTGTAGCAGGTGATGATCAAAAGAGCTGATAAGGTCTTCAACCCTCAAGTTCTTTAAATCAAAATCAAGAACCTTTAAAAAAAAAAAAGTATATTGTATTTCTGGGGTCTTCAGTTTGGCTTTGTCCAGTTCTTGCAGGCACAAGGAATTAAAACGTTACAGTTGCACGAGGTTGCTCTTACCTTACAACTTGATCTACGTGGTGGGTGGTCTGTGGGAGCAGGGACCATGGCTCTGGTTCCATTAGAAAGCTCTGGGAATGTATAAGATTACATTTTAAGAGCTGGTGTGGTGTGCAGGTAACCCCAACACTTGGGGAAGAGGATGAGGACGGCAGCTGTCCCCTTGGCATCTGGAAGAGCAGGGAGTCCCACCAGCCCCTCGGCATCAAAGGGGGCTACTTGGGGGTCCCCAAAGTGATGGGAGGGCAGAGCTTGGAGAAACCAAGCAAAGGGAGAGAGCTGAAGAACAAGGTGCTGATGGGGTGACGAGAGGCAGTGGAGGCAGCCTGGGAGCTGGCTGGGACATGGCCAAAGTCACTGCTTGGCCAAGGGCAGATCCACCGAAGAGGGGATGGACGCTGGGCTGGCTTAAGTACTGCGGGCAGGAATTGGGAAGATAATCATCCCGGCATCCCTCCTGGCCTTCAAAGCTACCTATAAATCTTCGCCTCACTGAAACAAACAATTTAGCCATTGATTTTGGTGGGGCCAGGATTTCACCCTGGCAACTATGTAACTGGCTGGAAAATCACTGTAAATGAGGAGGAAATCGCGTGGGTTGCTTTGAGTGCTCAGTCTGAGGGAAAATCCACAAGAAACACATCTGACATAAGTAACAAGACGGAAACAGGATTTTAAAATATGATACCAGTGCTGAATGTTACTATGGTATACTTTTACATGCCAGCAATATTCAAAGTATTTTAAAAGTATTCATGCTATATCTCAAGGAAGAAAAAAAAAGTCACCACATTTTTTATGCAAACTTTAATTTTATTAGGCAATAAATAGAATAAACAAGGAATATCGTAATAAATAAGTTGATTATTATAAATATGTTTCAATTTCTGAAAATTACAGCTGAATAAATAAAACCATTAAGACAAATTACAGTTGAGTGTTAGGTGGTTTGAGAACATTTCGGTACTATGATGTAGCTTATTTTCTAGAAATTTAGAAAACAATGGCTTAAAAGGCACTGACAACAGCTCGCTAAAATGTGATATGTAAGAGGCTCTGAAATACGGTTCCTAAAATGTCCCCAACCACCTTGCAGGATACTGATCCTACTATTTTTTCTCCAAAACATCCTTAGGTCAAACTTCTACCCAAAGTGCTGGAGGGCTGGGCGCTTACAGCGAGCTCTCCGGAGAGGTCAGGTAGTTCATCATCCTGTTGATGGTGACTGTGCGGATTTGGAAGGCATGAAGGATGCTGCAGAGCCTCATCCTCTCATTGAAGGAGGTCAGCCCTGCGCCTGCTGGTGGCTGCAGCACGCTCCTGCTGCTGGTCTTCAGGGCCTGGGAAGAGGTAGGGGCATTACAAACTATCACCAGAAAGTGGCTAAAACAAAAACCTCTTTAGATTTTTCACCCCCTGAGTGATAAATGACAAAACCTAGAAATAAGAATGTATTCTCATAAGTGAAAAATTTGAAATATTTAATGATATATTTAATAGACTTAGGATGTGCAGCCATACTTTCCTTGAGACAAAAATGTCCATTCATGCACAAAGGCTTTTTCTGCCCAGGAATGAAGATGCTTTTTAAATAATAAGCCTACAGCCAGCTTTATCTAGCGACTCCTTAGACTGGGCTCATCTGCCCGTGGCCAGAATCTCCAGGCTATTGGGAGATGCTGTGTCAATACAAAGGCAATTAATTTTTTTTTAAGTAGCTTTTGTTAAACAAACAAACAAGCTTTTAACATCTATTCCCTGTACTCACTAATAATATTAATCAAAGTTCATACATCCTATTTCATATTCAGTATAGCAGGTGTATCATATTTCATATGATCATATGATCATATGATTCATATGATATGATAATACATATTATCATATATGTATTTGGGAGAGAAATAGAGCGATGTCCCTGTATCCTTTTACTCTATTTTTGAGTTCTCTGAGGAACTGGCAGAAAATCCTGTACCCCGTCTCCTTGCGAGAGCAGAGCAGTGTGAAAGAAGGAGGGCTGCTAAGGAACTGTACATCTGAGTCCTGACGTGTTGACCATATCGGCAAGGCAAAAATATGAAGTGAAACACACAATTCATAAGAATCAAGCCCCTTCTAGGAAAAACAGTAACAGACAATTTTTTAAATTACCAGATTAAAGAAAGGTCACTATTTGACTGACCAGAACGGAGCACGCTGGATTAAAAACTCTGGTTTAAGACAGAAATAGTAGAAAGGAAGGAGACAGAAATACTTACTTTCATCATTTCATCAATAGTTGCCAGCACCTTTTGATCACTGAAGTTCTTCAGCTCTGCCCTGTAGGCATTCAGATCCTCATAGATGCCCTGCAGGCATTTACTCTGCAAAAGTCGGAATTATTAGGAAATGCAGGAATCTGTTGTTAAATGCTTTAAACATACAACAAGCAAAAGAAGGGGTTCTTCTGGGAAACTTGCAATTTACCGTATCAAAAGTAGATCTTTCTAGTGCCGGACAGTTTTCAGTCTGCAAATTGAAGAAGAAATGAGACATGGTGATTTTGTGGAAGTGCGAGTTATACAGCTGTTCCATGAAAATATGATGCTGAAACTTCATATATTTTTTTTACCCCTGGATTCTCAGATGTGCAAGCTTTTATCGTGTTGATTTGATTCTTAGTGATATCTTCAAGATCAACCTCTTCAAGGGTACATTCAAATCCCAGCGTGCTGAGCTCCTGTGTTAAAAAAGGAATAAAAAAGGGTCATTGACTCAGCTTCACGGTACTGTGTGTGTGTGTGTATATATATATATATATATGTGTGTGTGTATATATATATGTAAATACACAAAATTGTAAGTGATGCATCACAGCTGTCTGCACTTAGCTGGATCCTAGGAATGAGGCTGTGTGAGGACTATGGTTAAATAAGACAGCTAGCAAATAGACTGAGAGACTGAAATGCATGTGGCAGTTGTGTTTAATGGGAATAAGCTCAGGCTTTGCACAGATTTGTTTTATATGTTGTTGCGAATTGCACTATCTCCATTACTTTGAATTACTCTCTCAGACATTGAATCTATTGAAAACTTTATGTCACTATAGTTTCAAATGTAAAGTATCTCTTAGAAAGTGAAAAATAACTAATACGATCTGCATAGACATTTAACAGTGCTCACTGACCCACTGCAAGTGTGGGAACAATGCACCTATTTAGTGGTGGGGGTTTTGTGGTTCTCCGAGATGAAACTTGCAACAATAGCAGGGAATTTTAGCAAAAAAAAAAAAAATCCCCTTGGCACTACTGCCGGGGGGCTTTAGTATGGAAAGTTGCTACAGCACCAAACCAACGACACCAGCAACAACATGCAAACATAACAACAAAGTCGGGAGCAAGTATTTCCTGAGCTAGCTCTGCAGGGGCCTTAGAAAAAGAGCATGTTCAAAACCAAAGCGCTCAAATGAGCTGTTGATGCATTGCTGGCGCCACTAATGGTGTGTGTGTTTCTGTGGGGCTGCACTGAGTAAGGGCTGAGAAAGACACCTGAGCATATCCCCATCCTTAAGGGCTGGCCAGGGGAGGAATGAAAGCAAAGACCAGGTATAGAGTCTTAAAGGGAGCCTACAGAGAGCTTCTGCCCACATGGGCACCCTCACCAACCCATCACCGCCCTCCTGGGTACCATCACCACCCGCCTGGGTACCATCACTGCCCCATCACCGCCCTCCTGGGTACCATCACTGTCCCATCACCGCCTGCCCATGTCCCCTCTCCAACCCGCCACCCCCCCGCCCCATTGCTC